GAGTCTATTTGCTTCACTCGCTTTAAAGTTATTAAGAATCAAACGGGAGTACTTTTTTGGGACACCCGCCGTAGATATTTCCTAACACTTCCAAAGCGAGATTGAAATGTGTTTTATGAAGCCTGGTTTACAGTATCAAAGACAAAGTTTCTGTTATCACAGTATACGAATTTTGCATCGGTAAGTTTTGAAGGATTTTTAAGAAAAGTTTGGTGGAACGGAGTTAGTTTTCTCCAATATTTCTTGCAAATCCTTCAAAACTTTGATAGTGTGCACCAGGCTTTTTATATATAGCTACATAAACAAGTCTGTGATGTTACTCTGAATGTATATCCAAACCGGGCGAGCTTGAAAAATATGCCCGGTTTGGATATACACTCAGAGTAACATCACAAAGTAATCATATTCACCTGAGTACACAACACCAGCGCAGAAAAAATCATAAATAAGTCACTCTCTTCAGTAGATTATTGATATTGCTAAATTATAAGATTGAATTCAGTATATAGCATCGATTACCCATCTTAAAACTACTAATATGAAACAAATACTTGATAGTCATTCAGTGCAAAAATGTGCACATCGCGCAAGTGCTCAAAGAAATATATTTAAGTTCTTACTTTTAACAGTAACCTGTATTATTCAAACGAATGAGTCTGTGAATTTGCTTCTGCATAATTTTTTTAATGCATATCATTAATAAGCAGTGGTGCCTAAATTACTTTGAATTTGTACTCGAGTAAAAGTGGAAGTAATTAACAATAAAACGACTTGAGTAATTAAGATTAAAAAGTACTGGAAGCAAAACGTACTTAATTAAAAAGTACAAAGTATCCTTAAAAAATACTTGAAGCACAAAGTAAAAGTAAAAGTATATTATTGTCTGTAGCGTGTAGAGGGGAGGGGGACTTCTCCAATGGATTGACATACAAAAGACACAAAACAGCACACGCATTATATGCGTACGTGCATCAAATATATACAATAGGGAGTTTACGAATGTAAGACGGCGACGTCAGGACGACGGCTAAAGAAACTGTTTGAAATAAATGATTGTATGGAAATCTGGTCTTGTATCATTACTTTCGTATGAATTTAAAATAGTTTCGATCGAACGAGTAAAACAGAGCTTTAACCTTCAGAGCAATGTTGATCGACTCTGCTAGAAATATTGCCTGCCACGGCGTGAAATGCTATAGCGTACTATGCAAGACGTAAAAATATGCATTTTGCCGTTGTGAACAGAGCATGGACGGCGTCTAAAACCCCTACTAAACTTTTAATTATTTATTTCTTTTGTGCTATAGGATTAATGTCATCGTATTGATAGCCGTCGGTTGTCCTGACGTTGCCGTCTTACATTCGTAAACTCCCTAATTTCTCGGCATGGTCTAGTTTCCAGACCCCGTTGAAGATATATAAGAAATTCATTAAATAAATAATGCTTACATGTATACTAGTAAGCCACCAACGAGAGATCCCAGACGCATGTAGAGGTCGTATTACCTATCCCAAAATTAAAATAAATCAGAAATCATGTAAAATTAAACAAAAGTTAGAAAGTAACGAAATACTTCGCCACAAAATGAAGATAACGAAATAAAACGTTACTTCTTAAAACGACTTCGTTCCAAGTAAAAGTACTCCAGAAAAAGTTTACTTTATTACATTCTGACTTCTCAAAAATTGTACTTAAGTGCTGTAACGAAGTACATTTACTTACGTTATAATTACTTGACACCACTGAAAGTCCTGAAACAACCCCTTGCCCACATTTTTCAAACATTGTTTTAACATGAAGTATTCTAATTATGCCAACACGGAACGCCGGCTCGCGTCATGTTAGCCATGACACAGAGGAGAGATATACAGAGAGGAAACTCGCAGTCGATAACCTGAATTTTTGTGTCACGCGCACACGTTATTTCCATGCACGCGCCACGCAAAATTTCCCAGCCAGTGTCGTCGCTGAAATTCAGCATGAGCTCCACCTCTGAATTTACTATATGAGTAAATTCTTAAACACGTCCGAGTTTATCATTATGATAAATTCGCGGCACATTTTGAATTTATCACAGTGATAAATTCGCGGCGTCTAACCCCTAACACTAACACTAACCCTAACCGCTAACCCCTGTCCCCTAACCCCTAACTTTTTAAACTTTTTTGAAAATCTATCTTTTTTAACTTTTTTTTTCTTTTTTAAAACTTTTTTAAAACTTTTTTTCTGAAAATCTTGAAAATCGCCTATTTTCATTCTTTTGTCTACATAAAAATTGGAAAACCTGTGAAAAGGTCAATCAACTGCCTCCTGGCTGAGTCCTGGTAACATGTCTGAGCGGTGAGTAATATGTAAATCGACCGTTGAATAATAAAATCGTTCAGTTGTGCACAGCAAGAAATATGGAACTTTCTCGGTTTTGGATTTCTTGTTTTGTTTCTCGGCGGTCTTGGAGTTAATAAGTGTATTATTTAGCATCTTTCTTGACGACATCTCACCAAACTTTCCAGATCAAACATCTTCCAATTTCCCCCAATGTAGCGCATGCATCATTTAATGCACAAGAAACGGTAAATTAAATAAATTATTAGGAGATGCATGTGTCGAAATAGTGGTTAAAGTCTCTGCTACCATGTATATGCTGGTACCAAATTAAGATATCATGAAATTTATATGCAAACGATTTTTTAATAATTGTGAAATTCCTTCCCTACCTAATTTTAAGAATTTTTCATATCAATGCACATTTTTGTGCAAAATGTTTTTCTTATATTTTTCACTGAATTAGTTATATCTCTTTCAATCCGAATAGCTGTTTGTTGTCGTCGCTACATGCACTGGACCAACCGTATAAATAAACTTGCTTGCGACAATTTTAGCGCTTATGTAGCTAAAAGAAAATTGATGAAGAAAGTTTGTTTTTTTCGTTATTAAAACTATAAAATAGTTATGGAAGTTCTTGTTAATTTGAATCGCTCGAAAACGTACATGTTTTGAAGTATTAACTATCATTGCATCTCGTGTGGCACATCATATTATGTGGTATCAATTATTTTTTATTTCAGCCAAATCAGTATATGGTTTAGTCCTAACACCAAGAAAATCTTGCAACGATTTTCTGGCGGCAAATAAATCTGCAGTGTCAGGAACTTACTGGTGCAAGCCTGCAGTCAATAAGTTATTTCAAGATTACTGTAACATGGAAACTCGCGGGGGAGGCTGGATTTTGGTTTACAGCTACACCTTTACAAATTACAACAGTTTTAACTCAAGAAGCGATGCCTTAACTCCCCGTTCAAACAGGCCTGCAAGTGGCGCCAATGTTCCAATCCTCCATCAGTGAGTCATCTCTTGGGGCAGTTGATTGGAATCTTTGGACGAACATTGGGCATAAGTTCATGAGCTCATTGGGCATTAGTTCATTTTAGTCAACCAGATGGTGGAAGTCAGGTCACACAGAAAAAAGAATCATTGAGAATATAAAAAAAAAAGTGTCAGCTCATAATGGGGTGCAGTAAATGAGATGGGAGGAGGTGCACGTGGAATACTGCTTGACATGCAGGTATTGAGATTTTGGTGCTGAAATGGTGGTGGCAGAATCTATAAAATCACGGATTTTAAAATCACTGTCTGGCATGGTGCAGAATTGTCCGAAATTATGGACCATGTTGGATGGACTCGCCGGCATATGGCCACACTACCTTTAACTGGTGTGTCAGCTAAGCTGGTGACAGCCGACGTTTTCACTGGACAATCGGCAGAGTGGCACGATCTGATTGATCTAAAACCTCTTTATGTGACACTGTGCGTTTCCGCGCCATAAATCTCTAGAAGCGACCTACTCCCGCATGTTCTATCATAAGGTTTGAGGTTGTCTTGGTAAGGATTGCGTATATTAAGGATTGGGTGGAATTAAGGATTGGATAAATTCAGGATGGGTGGTCGGGAAGTTTTGGGGATAAATTGTAGCACTGAGGAGAGATCGGGTCCTGAGGGACAACGAACGGGGGAAGCGTGTGAGTGGAGAGTTTTGTGAAATAGTTTACCTTTCACAATGCTTAAAACCGGAACACGATTAGTTAAATAGTAAAATAATGCCGTAAAATGGACAGGAAGGGCGTAATCACGTGGATATATGACGCTATAAACTTTAAGGCATAAAGAGCGAACAACACCTCCAACTCTGCTCAGACTTCTATCTGCGCCAAGGAACTCTGTTAGACGCCCACCCTCCCACTCGTTGGAAATTTCACTTTCTCCGAAAGCGTTCGAATCAAGCTCCCCATATTCCATAACTTATAATAATGAGTGTGAGTGGAGAGTTTTGTGAAATAGTCTACTATTTTTTAAGTCTTGTGAAAAAGTCATTCCATCATTGTATTTATATTCTAAGCAAAAATTGAGAAAAACAACTTTGTAATAAATGAATAAAGTCACACAGGAAGCCATTTTGAAAGCGTGTGCGTAGAAAAGACACTGCAACACTAAAGCAGCAACCGTGAACGGGCAGCCAAAACAGTTCTATCTCTCAATTTTAATTAATTTAAACTGACATTTGGATATTTTGTTTTTTTAACTAAAAATTTATATACTAAAACAATCATTCGCCTCTGAATGAGTAATTACGGTGAACATTCACCTCGACTTTGTCTCGGCGAATATTCACCGGCAATCACTTCGCCTTCGGCGAATACTTGTTGATTATTTTAAACAAACAGATGCTGGCGGATACATGTAGTCTTTGCGTGTGCTTTAGTATTACTCGATCAGAATTGCAGCCACAAATTGTTAATAGCTAACTCATCTTAACTCATCTTAACATCTTAACTCATCTTAACAGAGCATGCGTAGATTGTACATGCTGACGTGTACTGAATATTAATGAGGCGAACTGGTAGGTTAATGGGGAATAGGGCTAGATACAGATTCTAAATATCCGTGCAAAATGAAGTACATATACCTATCTTTGTGCAATTTCTGACCGACAAAAGTTTTTAAGTTAGAAATTACTGGGTCGTATTCTCATCACTGTTTCTTTTAATGATTCTTGTTGGCCCTTCCACGCTTCCCAGACGACACCGTCTCTGTCACCCTCAGCTGTTGAATAATGACCGTTGTGGTAGATGCCGTTCAGATTAGATGAATGACAATCATGAAACCACCAGCCACCTGTAAAAGCTTTAGCGCAATTCCGCCAACCACTGCGATCGTTGTCATTGTCCCGTGTTGTAAACATCATTCCGTCATGAAGTTTAAGAGAATCACCAGAATTACCTACAAAATTTTACTAAATAAAACAATCTTGTTTTTTCTCCAATTAATAAGCGTAATAAAATAATTATTGAATTCGGTTTTCGCGTGAGATCGAAAATTATCAAGGCCTCGGTTTGTGTTATCTGCCTCAATCTACGGCTTCGGAAGAAAACACAACCTCGACCTTGATCATTTTCCTTATCACGTTCAACCTCGTCCAATAATTATTAATTAGCTTGCACGGAATGAGCGCCTGCAAGAGGACTACCTGGCTTACGTGACTACACGCCTTTCACGTTTTTCACGTACAATGCTGTGACTGCTCATTGCCATGAATTAAACTCACTTGTTTACACCCAAGTGAAACATTATTACATTTCACTGACTGACATATATGTTTGCGGACAAGGAAATACATTTCTTTCGTCCGTGTTTTCCTCAGCTGAGTTTTTATTGGTCAATCTACCATATTGTCAATGCGGGCATTGTCGCCTTTATTTGCTCGCTTTTACAATATTTTAGAGCTATCGCTTGTTTCGCCTAGTACAACCATTTTGACTATTTCTGGCAAAGGCAAATAAAGAAAACGATAATAACATTGACTTTTCGCTTTCGATAGGGCAGAATTTAATAGTTAAAGAAATACTAGTCAAGCTTTTTAAACAAAGTTATACTTTACAAAGAAAACGTGTGTTACTTCTTGTTTTTAATAAATTTTAGTATACTGGCAAAAAATATTACTTGTTTCCATGGCGACAGCGAGACATGAACTAACAACAGAGCGAAGCGGCATGCATAATGTTTTTTACTTAGGCCCTAGGAGTTAAAATTAATCCGGTATGAAAAGTAATCCCGTATAGGGTAAACGGGGACTTAGTACTTTACCGAGAGGAATAAATTCCAACAAGAAGTATACTCACCAACGTAATTTTTAGCGATCAAGATGAAATTACTTGTTTCGTCACCAACTCCAAATGATGAATAAGAAGCATGCTTGTACTCTGTTGCAAAACTCGTCAAATCAATTTTCAAAGTGTTTGTTTCGTTTGAAGTTAAACGATGAATTTTGTTCAGACCGAGCCAAAATTCGCTATCGAATTCCCCAAAACCGTCTTTGTAATCCGTCCAAGAACGGTTAAAATCAACGGAGCCATCAAACCTTTTTTGAATGATAGTCCATCCACCGCCATCCGACGTCATGTCACATAGCACTTGGAAGGATCCTTCGCCGTCTGGATCAACGCTGAACTCTCCGTCCTGCATAACGCCGGATTTGTATAAGTCAGCGCAGCTTGCAGCTGTAACGTAATGCATTATAATTAATAAATACTGTAGGTATCAGTTTCGAAGAGAACTGCATGCTGACTACTTGCAGGAACACTAACATGCAATGAGCGAAATTTTGACTTAAAAAGTTGAGTAAAATAATGCGCCCACTGTGACGCAAATTTTTGAGCAAAATGACTCAAATTTATGAGAAAATGAAGTAAGTATAAATCTTTAGTAAAAAAATTTAGTAAATTAAATTAGTTTTTAATTTGAGTAATATGAAACTTTGCTAAAAAAAATTGAGTAAATGTGCGCATAAATACGAGCAATTTTACTCAAACTTTTGAGTCAATGTAGGTTAGGTGCATTGTTTGACATAAGTTAAATCCAAAAATCTGGTATTATTGAAACAACATTTACTCAGTCGTAAATTTTTTAGATTAAATTTCCAGGCAGGTATAAATGTGAGAAAAGCAGAGTTTATATATTTTTCATCAATGGTCTCTGTCAAGCACATGTTCATAGTAATGTTTTCACTTTTTTCGAAAAATGAGAGAGAATTGAAAGCACAATAATACTACAGATAAGGAGGGAAAGCTACTTGACAGCAGCCTTTCAGCCTTGGCTATAGAGCCTTTAAAGGACTAGAGTGTATCCTTATCCAATAAAGGACAAGAGTATATCTAGTCCTTTATTGGATAGAGTCCTTTATCAGATGGTTACATTCACGAAATCTACAGTTATACATTAGATATTATAAAAGACCTTTATATAATTCGGTCTGCAGTAAAATGAAAAAGGGCTGATATATTGGAAGTCTTTTAGAACCACACCACGACCCTTGAAATGTCGTGGCTGGAGTGACCGTTTCAATAACTGTCAAATTTCGCAAGGAATTAGATCAAGTTTAGAATAAAAACAGGGACTTATGAATTGAACAGGTCATATATTATTAGCACTTGTGAAGATGCAAGCGGGTCAACAATCTTTGTAATAATAAATCTACGTAGTTTGCAATAATAAATGCACAAACCAAAATATACGTTTGCTTCAATGAACAGAATTTGGCATGTTACATTGCACCTATTGTCCTTATTGAATATTGCAGCAGCGGTAACTAATAAGTCATCAGGCTGTTGCTTTAACAGAAATTAAATGCATTAATTTTAGAAATAGTTACAGGGAGTGGACATTAAAAAGTGCCCCCCCCCCCATAAAAAGGAATATCCTGTTCTTTTACACATAAGTAGTATAGAAATTCTTGACAAAAGTTATGTTTTGAACTTACATACTTGTTTAGTTTTGTGTATGTGTAATTAGTTCATGATTGAGTCGGTTTTCTTTGATACGTACCGAGGTGATTATTTTTAATAATAATCACCTTGAATATTATTTAGCTGAAAAGTTGAAGGAAAGCTCAGAAAATTGTCGTTCAAAGCAGACGAACAGACAAAACTTTGTTGGAAAACCTCCTCAACCATGAATTAAATGCGTCCTCGGGTAATTATCTGACATAAATCCCTCCGTCTCGGTGTTTATCCTATATACATAAAGAATGTGATTTCAAGTGTATAGGATTAGATAAACAGATACGTTTAGAGCTTTTACTCAAAATTCAAGATGGCGGACTTGAATCAGAAATTTACTAATATCGTTGACTATATCATACGATTTTACTTTGCATTAGTCATCCAGAAATGAACTGCCCAAAGCTTTGATTATAAATAAAGTTGGAGGAACTGACTGATGTGATGCAGTAAATTCGTATGATTTTCATGCTGTTAGACAGATTTGCACACAATCAAACTTTCACGACCGTTCGGCTTTAATACAATAAATGTAGCCAAGAAAAATAGGGTTTGCAGCAAATTGTGTGGAAATGGTTTATTGAAAGATTACAAAAAAGCTTTACCAGTACATCGTAACTTAGTAATAGCGGTTTGGGCAGCGCACCTTCGTTATTATTAAAAGTACTTACTGTTTCTCACTGAGCCATTTAGTATAATATATCCTAACGATACAACTACGCACATTAAATAATTACATTAGCTAATGCAGCTGTATGCCATTCTTCTTTTGTGACTAACTCAGTAAGAATATCAGAACAATGTAACGAGGAGAATTTGATAATATTGGCACATTTCTGATTCAAGTCTGCCATCCTGAATTTTTAGTAAAGGCTTTCTAAACATATCTATTTTTCTAACACTTGACTTGAATTTACAATTTTTATTCGCACATACATAAAACTAAACAAGTAACTTCAAAAACACACAACTTTTGTTAAGACTTTCTTTACTTATGGTGGTGACAAAGAACAGGCTATACCATCTTTTGTAGCTGGCCACTTTTTAATGTCCATCCCGTCCTGTTTGTGTTACGTTTCAAAACTTGGCACTGTTCATTACTATCCTTAACCCTAACCGTTTTCCTATGTTTAGCTCTATCTCCCTTTGCTTGACAAAAGCAGATATTTACAGTGCTTTTATCTAGCCCTCATGATCTTATTCCATACTTGTTTTATATTTTATTTCTATTTGTTCAGTTTTCTGTATATTTGTACTAATGTATTTGGTAATGTAATTTTATCTGATTTTTTGTCACGTGATCGCTTTTGTATTCACTGGTAAAAATGTAATTTTCCCGAACCATGCTAATAACTTCCCGACGAAGGGCCTTTGCTAGAAACGTCGACATTCTGCTTGATGAACAACTTGCATGTTAGTCTAAATTTTAATCTAAGTAAAGAGAAGGGAATCAAACACCACAGTTTAAAGAACATAATGAAATTAGTAAAATTGCAAAATTTGTTGTAAAGCTTGGATAATATAGTCTTGCAAAGTTTGCAAATTTTGTATTTGCTACCTACACTGGCACCGACCGTTCGAGACTAATAAATAATTGCTGCTCATATTCTCAAAAGCCTAAATTTTCAGCTTCGGTAAGACCATTCATATATTCGCCATCAATGCAATATACAAAATTCTTGACTGTAATCTTAATCCTATTAATTAATATACTAGTGAATCAAAACTTACCAGAAGTCGTTGAAGATGGTGTCATTGGCTGAATCGTGAAAGATGGTGTAACTGGCTGAATCGTGGAAGATGATGTAACTTGCTGAGTCGCGAAAGATGGTGTAACTGTCTGAATCGCGGAAGATGATGTAACTGGCCGAGTCGTGAAAGATGGTGTAACTGGCTGAGTCGTGGAAGATGATGTAACTGGTTGAGTCGTGGAAGATGATGTAACTGGTTGAGTCGTGGAAGATGATGCAACTGGCTGAGTCGCGAAAGATGGTGTAACTGTCTGAATCGCGGAAGATGATGTAACTGGCCGAGTCGTGAAAGATGGTGTAGCTGGCTGAGTCGCGGAAGATGATGTAACTGGCTGAGTCGCGGAAGATGATGTAACTGGCTGAGTCGCGGAAGATGATGTAACTGGCTGAGTCGTGGAAGATGACGCAACTGACTGAGTCGCGGAAGATGATGTACCTGGCTGAGTCGCGGAAGATGATGTAACTGGTTGAGTCGCGGAAGATGATATAACTGGCTGAGTCGCGAAGGATGATGTAACTGGCTGAGTCGCGAAGGATGATGTAACTGGTTGATTCGTGAGAGATGGTGTAACTGGCGTTGAGGTATTCTCCTACATAGAATGAAGAAAATGGGTCAAGGATAAAAAAAACTACAGTGACTATATCAGGAATTTGTTTCATTGTAATCGCCACAATCCTAATTTATTTCCTTAGTATAATATAATTTTGATTGTTCGTCATGTTAGAAAACCCCATCCGATATTTCAATCAATTTGGCTGTAGCCCGGACATCCATCGAAGTAATTTAATGTGTTTGCGACAAATTAATGAACATGGTGCTTTCCACGAAATAAATTATCGACAAAATGGCCACGACTTGTATGCCAATTGGCATTAAGATAACCTTGTTGCCATTAATATAACCATTAATATAACCTAATTTGCATTAATATACATAATATACAATGGCCTTTCATTTATTTTTAACAAGCCGCATATAAGATATTTAACTTGAAATTATGGCAACCTGAAAGTTTTCCTATGCTGTATGTCCAGTAAGCAATGTTGTTCAAGATTTATGCCCATAAGTGGAAGTTCAATCTGAGCTTCTCTCGAGTGTCATTGCTGTTTTTGAATAGTTGGAGTGTTAGTGTCGTATCTTATACAATGTGACTACTCACCCTCTAGCTATTCAAATATAGCATTGACACTCCAGAGAGGCTCAGATTGAACCTCCACTCATTGAGTGTGAGTATGAGTGAGCTTTTAAAATACAGGCGCTAGACGTTATATAAAATAAATTCTGGTCATTTAATTGACTGGTTATAATCACGTGATATTGAATAAAAATACAATTTTATTCAGCGTGCAATGCAATGCAACGCGTACTATTACACGCTCAGCCGTGCATTTTTGGACTATACGATTTGTTCCATTGAACGGGAAGGTTTAAATTAAATTTAATCATTCAAAATCCGATATGTATTGTAATCGTAGCTTATTCAACGATAATTTTCTTATCGATGAATAAGATCGATGGAATTAAGTTCGAATACATAACTCGTACGAAGCAAAATGGCGGGTGTAAAAATATCATATTCTTGCGATAGAATTAAATGACCGCCATTATTATATTATAGGTTTTCACTAAAATATGTTAAATCAGTTTTGGCACTTTTTTGTTGGATTTTAATTATATTTGAACAATGCACATGTAACTGAGATATGTATTTGTTGTGTATTTAAATAATTTAATTCACTTAAAAATGCAATCGCCCATTCGCCCTGTGCATGCAACAACATTGACAACTTACTTTAGAATGTTCTATATCAGTTTGAATCTCCCAATAATCAAAGGTTTCTGCCACGACTAGGCCATGCGGGTACGAAGATTTTGTGGCATTATTTAATTGACATTTCCTTTGTTTGTCAGTTAATGATTCGCCTCCACTTTCGTAGTTAAAAGATTTACAGCTAGGTTGAGTTTTGAAGCAGCGATATGTACACTCCGCCGCATTCTTGACTTGGTGTTCCTTAATAACATAACCATGGAGGCGATTTCCTACGCAACATAAGACGAATAAGTATGCAATTTTTCAAAAATCTGATTTAACATTTAAGGGCATATTACACGAGGCAATTCTTGATGCAATTCGCAACGAAAGTTTGACTACAGAACCATATTGTCAACAATAGCAAAAAGAGAACCGGCATCTGTAGTATTTTTGTATCGTTTGTTTGATTTCTTTTCAACTTTCATTATCATTGTTGACATTTTGAAATTCTGAAATCCACTGCCGCCACAGGTCCTGTGTAGTGGCACGTAACTTGAAATTATGTTTGTTCTATTTTTCTGTAGCGATTACCGCTTTATCGGCAAATATCGCTGTAGAATTTCCCTATCTTTCCTTTATATACGTCAATTTGTAGCAAAGGATACACCTTTCGTTAAATTCTTTGCACAAAAGTTGCAGAATTTTTATTTTAGTACGTCAAACGATGGTAGTTGATAATCTTAAATTTGTTTAATATGAGCACACTGGGAGCGGCGCTTTAAAACTGATTTATCAGCAAACATCGCTATAAGATCTAAATTTCGCAACTTTTATGCAAATAATCTAAGCAAAGGTGTATCCATTTGTGTTACATCTGATACTTATACAAGCTTTTAGCAATTTTATTCATTAAAAATAGCTTTAAAGAATACCTCTAGACACTGTAACAAAACTATGTGGCTTCTTTGTGCTTGGCGAAACGGCAACTTCGTTTAGTAATAGAATGTGCTCGTTTGTAACCAGAACGAAAGTGTCGGGAGGTGAATAGTACAAGGATATTCGGAGCTCAGGGCAACTAATCAAATTGTGCGAAAAGTACTATCCTTCTTCCGCGTATATATACTAACTTGTTATTCCGAAGAAGGTGTGCATAAATACGTTACACATTCTATTAAAACTGTATTAGGCTAATACTGTAAGTTTAACTATATTGTGCGGACTATTTTTTTCGGCATAATATCATTTTTATAGGGAACTTATACGGATGCGACGTTTGAGCCAAGGCGTAGATCGTGCCCGTAGGCGCTTTCCGTCAACACGGCCAGACCGGTCAGACCACCGGTCAAATTGATGAATGGAACTCAAAACGTTTGCGCTTCGGACCTATCTGACCAGAAAATGTGGATAACATTAAAAAAGGTCCAATTTCGCTAGATGTTTCAGAAACACAAACCAGATCTTTCCATTGATACATGCAGAGACAAAATTTCGGGTCTGACCGGTGAGGCCATTAAATGGAAAGCGCCCCGTGTTTATGGCGAAAACCGTGTCATTAATTATGGCGGGAACCAGCTGCCGCAGCAGGGAATGCTGAGTCGATAATTAATGTCAAATCACTTTCTTAATAAATTATCTAATTTGCATTATAAACGAAAGCTCAATGTCACGAAGATAAGAATAGGTCACAAAAAAACTGAAAAATATGTTTTACTATCGCTTTCACAAATTTTCGAATTAAATTTGCGATGCTAAACGTTTACAAATAGGCAACCAGTATTTGTTCAAGTATCTAAAAATGGAAAGAGCAGTGAAAGGTGGACTGAAAAGTTATTTCGTCCAATCGTTATAATCGGATGATATTTGGCCATATTTATGCATTAATTGATTGTACTGACTGAAAAAAATGTCATGACAGCTAAATGACTGCTGTTTAGTATGTAATAGGTTAATTTATAAACTTAATACCTAAATGAACCTTAACACTTTATAACTTAAGGTAATTCCGCAGTAATTGTTCCCGAAATGAGAATGTGCTGAAACTTCCCAGGCATGAAGTTTATGATATACTTAAAGTAAAATCACACAAAAAAGTCGGGGTCACCGAACTCGTTAAGAAGATATGACAATCACAATATACAACCTTTACCCCAATACGGCGCCATCTTGACGCTCATTACGAGTAACAGCAAAATCACAACAGCCCGATATTTACTGACGTTTTTAGCACGGATTTTGCTTTAGTAAACCTATCTTGTAATTATTTTTAAAAAAATTGTGTTTTGAGCAAAATGAAACAACTAACGTGTACAATTCTGATCCACAAATGTCTTTTCCACATTTCTTTACATATTTTTCTTTGAGAACATGCATTGATAAAGGATTTTTTTTCAAGATCCAGAAATGATTTTTCTTTTAATTGCGGATATGAAATGTAAAATGCATTAAAGAAATTAATTATCAGTTAAAAAACGGGGGTCACCGATCTTTTTAGGGAATTGTGGCATTAAAACGTGAAAAACAAGTAAATAAATATACTACAGACACAGTGAACCCTAGCTACACTTTTGTATGCCTTTTTTTGAAAACATTGATTTTAACGTAATTCTTTGCATGAATGTAACCAAAGATGTTTTGAAGTAACATAAAATTGTCATAAAATTATATTTTTTTAAACGGTACGTATAATGGATGAAATTATAAGTTATAAGATGTGCGCAGTAAAAGTGCGCAATGCAAAACTGCGGAATTATCTTAATTCCCTATAACACAAGATATATGTCAAAGTTGGATTATACCTTTCCTGATGCATCTGCATGCAGAGTATGTATAACAGTATAAGGCCCAGTTACTTTCGATATCAGCTGTACGTTTTGGTTTTCGTTTGGATTGTTGCCCGTATCTGTTGTTCTGCGCCTGAACAACTGTATGGTACTACTGAACCAAGCAACCTACTACAAGACCAACTTTATATCCCATATTTCCCATACCTCTTTATTTTGTACATGAACTAATTATGTATACTTAGTCCTCTTTTGACTTCCAATGAATTAGTTAATCTGGCACGAAATGAAAAGTAATACGAATTCCCATGTAACTATAGGGCCTAAGAAATTACTTCTCGGGGTATAACTACAATCTTGGCTAAAAGCTCGTTGAACGACAAAACAAATTCGCAACTTAATTTTTAATATACTTGGGTTTTAAAATCGTGTTACACCTC